CCCCCCCCCGTTATGACATATGTCTACGTGACCAACGCCGGGAGAGATACGCCGCCGCGGACGATTGCAATCCGGACTGTCACGACACGCAAACGTGTGACCCGACCCGCGTCGGCGTCTACGTTGTACGAGCGAACGACAATTCCCCGGCCCCGGTGCCGTGCGATGGGATTGCTCGACGATGAGCGTGGACTCGCAGCCTGGTGATCCCGAGCAGGCGAAAGTATGGCAGCGGCGCAGGGCACACCGGAGTCGGACACCGGGAGCTTCGAGTGCTTCCGCAACTACACGGCGCCGGAGGTGTTCGTGCAGGGCCTGGCCGGTATCGTCGATCAGCAGGACGTGGAGTCAATGATACGCGCGCAGAAGCAGATGTAAGTCTCTCAGGTCTTTGAGATCTGTATCATAAGCCAGTCACAGCCTCATTAACGTCCTAAGACTACTTGAGATGATCTTGAGATACTTGAAAAGATCCGATTATAAATACCTCTGTCTTTCTGATGACACCTCCCGTCTCTCCCGAGAGTTGTATATTTGCACTTACACCCGACAGTTCATTGATATTAACATTTAACTCACGCTTCGTATACGCTTTCAGGCTGCAGAGATTCGAAAAGACCAACGAGATGCTGACAAACTGCAATCAGTTGTCGGTGAACAGGCTGAAGACGGCCGGCACGGAATTCAAGAAGCACACCGCTCTCCTGGTCGAGATGAAGCGGGACCTGGATTACATTTTCAAGCGGATTCGCCTGATAAAGAGTAAACTGAGCCAGCAGTATCCGCAGGCGTTCAACGGTAATTAATTTTTATATATTTACGCGGACGAGGGGAAGAGTAGAAATGTTGATCCGTTAAGTCATTATATACTTTTTTTGGTCGGCGTGAATGCGCAGAGGCGGTGAGGAGCAGCCTGGCGGAGGAGGTCATCGTGGAGGATGTCGATTGCCCGGTGAAGCCCCTCGAGCCGGAGGTCGTGCCGCTGCCGTCCGTCCCGGCTCACGGCGCCGCCGATCAAGATCCCGATTCAGATGGTAATGAAACCTCCAGTAAAAATAGTCATATCGCTAAGGAGTAAATCGGATTCTCTACGACGAACGAATGTTCAAATGTAAAAACTTAAAAAGTTTACCTACGGAAAACGAACGGCCGATTAATTCAGGTAACACGTACATACACACATTATATTTCTAAATATGTATATTGGGTGGAGGTTGAGATGAGCCGCCGGTGGAGGAAAGTATGTCTACGCTTTGTTGTAAAGAGAGCAAGGAGAGAGAGAGGACCTGTTTAACAGTCTGAACCAAACCTGTTTTTAAGCACTCAGACGACTTTATTGTTGTGAGATGTATTATATGTGGAACTACATTTAGCTATACGTGAATGCATAAAAGAGCTATTTTAAAGAGAGTATTTCTACTTAAAAATCGATGTTAACGAGAAGCGACGTCGTGTCTCTCGCTTCTCAAGATTGCGCTTTTACCTGACATCCTCGTGCATTTTATCTCTCTCCCCCCCCCCTCCCCCCATGTGGGATACTAGTACAAAACCGCTGTAAAGGTGTATATCCAGTCCGCAAATCGCGGCGCGAATCGACACTTTACGATTATTTACGCATATTTTCGTTGGTATATACTCGCATGTGTAAAACTGACGATGGAATCGTCACGTTAACTGACAGAAGCAAGTTTGCAATACAGAGATGGTACAAAGTAAATTTCCATACTAGCTGGAGAGCTTTCGGGCGGGTGGTTGACCAAGAGGGTCAATGAATTGTGCAATTTTTTTGTTGCTTAATTTTTTTTTTTTGCGAACGAATGAGAAGATTCGTTCGGATTGAATGAGGAAAACGTGCCATGTCGGATATCCGACGCGCGCCGACGTATAGATATCAGACGTAGATTGAAGTACGGAAGTTTACTATTTTGAATGTTCTCTCCTCATTACGTAATTTTCAACGACTTGCCGCGTAAGTATGTACATATACCGCATAACAACACGCTTTCGATGTACGAGCCGACTTATCGCTTCTCCCAGCGCATAGCAAGGAAGCTTGTTCATGTGTTACATAGTGCATTATTGTAAATAAAGATCGTTCGTCTACCTCGTCGCACATATATATACACATAAACATACAAACACACACACGCGCACACACACACACATACACAGAGTCGTCTATTTCACGCTACTCCGATTAGGCACTTCTGCAACGATTTATAGTTTTTTTTGGTCGAAACACTCGAGAGCTGGTCTCGCAATCCTCTGAGCAAGATTTTAGTGTACGTGCCTATGAAGTTTAGTCAGGGACGTGGCTGGGTTGAAAGAGATTAAATTAAGTCGTTTCGCGCGAAGATATGTGCAATTAAGGGATGTGCGTTGCCGCATCGATTCTCACACAGCCCGAGATTTTAATGTTACTGCCTTATAGAACTCCTTAGAACGCACGCACGGAACGCGACAATTCTGCATCCTGCGAACCAAAGTCGGTCTCAAAGGTGCTTCAATATATAAAAAAAAAAAAATCCGTTGTATGCGCACTCTTCACTGTAAGACAATGCGACTCACAATGTAAAACGTTTCGGTCGGCCGAGATAGAGAGAAAGAGAGAAATATATAAGTGTTCTTTGTTCTCGTTCTTCGTTCTCGTTTCTGCGGTTTGCACTCACTCCCGATCAAGTTATCCCCTATCCCTTTCTGCGAAACGGAATAAAAACGATGCGTAAAGCGAAAAGACCAAAAAAAATAAACGAAATCGCGAACGGCGATAATTAGCCAGAAGACTAATGACATGACTTCCATTGTTGGTGTACAGTGCCGGTCGAGGAGTTTCAGTTCGCGAAGCTGCGCAAACGGCGAATAAAGAGTAACGACAGCTCGTCGACGGAGAGCAACAACGATCAGATGAGTAACGCCGACACGTCGTCCTGCACGTCCGATACCGGTTGAAAGAAAAAGCCGGGCACGCAATAATGAGAGGGGAGGGGATGAGAAAACGCTTGTCATAATCATTGGTCCCAAAGTCGTGGGACACTCACACACGCACACCGGCCACGTCGAATGTTGCTCGGGAGCGTACGGGCTAATCAATCGATCAATCAGTAAGGCAATAAAAGGGAATCGGGTGGCGCGGGGTGTGTCTCGAGGTGGCCGCCGCCGCCGCCGCCGCCGATACCGCGCACAGCATATCTCGATGTCGTTGTGCGAGCTGCGAGTTTGTGAGTACTGTCATGTTGATAAAAAAAAAAAAAAATAATATAATAAATAAATCCTTTGTACATGGTATAGAGCGGTGTTGATCAATTCCAACGACTGTTCCGGCGAGCGCGTGCGACGGAGAGAGAGAAATCGCGCGCGGCGCGGGAGAGAGAGCGTGTCCTTGCGGAACCACCGTCCAGGGAAGCCTTTAATTCGCGTCCAAGGCGTCGGGCCGAGACGGCCGAATCGCCACCACCTGGGACGTTTCATTAGCGAGGACGCAGCCGTCGCCGTCGTGAAATATCTCGCTCGTCCGGCCGGGCAAAGGTGGCGCCGAGATTAATGCGAATGCTTTTCACGGCTGCATCCGCGCCCGCGCCCGCGCTGCGCCGCGCCGCGCGCTAAGTATAGCGAGCCGGCGCGACAAGCGCGTCTGGGGAAAGATTCACGTGACTTCTTTCGGCGCGTTAATTCAGGAGGAAGACATTCGAAGTGTCCACCGCACGTGTTCGGCGCAACGGGGCGTACAGTGAGCGATGTCGACGTCGACGTTCGATGTCGTTGCGACACGTCTTTCGCTTCGGCGAAAATGCGAGATGCGAGGGTAAGCGCGGATGTTAGAAATCGCGCCATTTCTTCCTCACGGTGGTATTTAAATTAAAAGAAAAATGTAGCGAAACTACGAAGGATGATGCAGCGAATTTTATCATCTTTATTAGTTTCATTTCATTGGTATTTTTTTTTTTTTTTTTTCGAAACGAGAACAACGCGTCATTGTGTGATCCGTGGATCAAGAGACGTGATAACTTGTACAAATTATTTTTTTTTTGTAAATCCTTTCCATGATTCTTTCTATCTCAAAATCGCAATCGCGTCGTGAATTCTAAAATATTTTTCTTTTTTCGAAGCAGCTTTTGTAGGGAATTTTAAAAATAATTTTGTAAAAAAAATTGGATCTCTCTCTCTCTCTCTCTTTTTACCCAAGATTCATTTGCAAGTCTTCCCATGGATTTCAGATATTTGCTCCACGACCTTCGCTTTTCCCAGATTCTCCAGCGAAGCGCGGCGTAATCGCGCTGTAACCGGCGCGGCGGTTGTAATTATTTACGGATTAACGGGATCCGGCGCAAGCTGTTGCCGTGGAGGATCACCGCCGCCCCGGTTTGCCGGTCGCGAATGTTAATTTTTCTTCTGCGGTTTGTTATCGCCCGGCGTAAAATATTGTTAGCAATCGATTTCTAGCTCTGCTTTCTACCATCGATGGTTTGTGCTATACACAGACGTCACGCGCGCGTACACACGCGCGCGCGCGGAGTGCGACGCTCTCGGAGCGCGCGCGGGGAAGACGCCAGCCGTCGCGATGCCAGAAACCAGCTGCGCCTCAGCTGTTTTCTATCCATTCCGCCTTGCTTCCTTTCTCCCGGCGACGATTGGACACTTGGAAATAAAATCCTAGATAGACGCGACACGTGGGGCGCGTATTCGCGCTACGTGCAGGAATTCATCTTCACGATTCGTGTATAATTAAACTCGACCGTCCCTCTATTTGCGCGTGAAAATTTGTGCTCTGTACAGCATCACTATTAGCTTTATAGATTTTGGACTATCTTGGGGAGAATTTGTTTAATAATATTATCACATTAAAGACTGTTATAAAAAAAAAATGACTAGACAAAGAAATCAGATCTTATTTATTTGAATTATACATATATATATTAATTTGCCTTCTGATATTATTTATTCAATTGTAACATTGGCGCGAAAATATCGCAAAGAGATAGCCCCGTTATAATTTTGTAAAAGATATTTTTTTTTATAACCAATTATATTCATCCAATGAATATCAGATATTTGGAGAGCCTGAATGCTTGTCTTTTTTATATACACATATTATGACAATGTGCACATAGATAAGATAAGATGTATCAAACGCGGTGGAAAACGAGGTGCGAGATATCTGAGATATTTCGCGTAGAGTTCATTCGCGTTATTATGGGCTATCTCCTTCCCGTAAAGTCCCCAACCTGCTTGCGCGAAGCGCAATTCATTTGCGCGGGTCGCCATTGCGGATATTGCACGCGCGTGCTAACGCACCCGGGGAGGAATGCATTGCGGGGACGAAGGGGAGATTCGCGGGGGGGGGGGGGGGAGAAGAGCGACCGTGGCGGTTAACTGCACTCCCGATAAAACGCGGAAACAGCTGTTTAATCTTATCCGGTCCACCTGCGCCGCGCGCGCTCGATATTTACTCTCATTCTTCCACAGCGCGTCGCATGCAGCACGCGCTCGCCCCCGGTACATGCGTCTTTTGTTGACGCAAGCATAACAAAGCTTGCTTCCATCCGTCTTTGGCACATGTGCGCCGCACAGATAGCTCCTAGAGCTAGGCGCAAATTTGACAACGATGCAACTTGTACGCTATTTTTCCGATGACTTGCACGGAAATTCTCAAGATTTTCCCCAAAAACGACGCGTGCAAATATTTAGTTTAATTTGAATTTAAATAAATTTAAAAAGTATATGCCAGAGAAATATTTTGTACGGTCTTTTAATCTGTTAATATAAATCCGCAAATTTTTTGGTAGTTTGATAGTTATACTAAAAAAAATTTTTAATTTTAATTTTAATTTTAAATTTAGCATTTTATCTAGCTCGACATCGTTGCCCTTCGTAATTTCGATGATGGTCATATTTTTTTCTACAATTCGTAAAGCGGGGAAAAGTGTGTCGCCGCGATACGCCGCGGATTACGCCGCGAGCTCGGTGGGAGCACGGAAAGACGCGGCGGGAACTACGGGCGCGCGAAGTCCTCGGAGAGCCGCGATGGTGTTTTTGAAAGCGGGCGATATTCTCTCTCGTTCCCTTTTACCTCGCGCGCATTGCCCGGGGTACGTCTAGTTGACGTCGGGCACAACGGCGACCGATGCAAAGTAATACAAAAGCGCGCTCGCTAACTCGTCGGAGAGTGTCACCGGCAGCACTTCGGATTGAACTTTTCCAAGAGCCTCGGACGAGAGCTAAAGAAAATGCGCCGCGGCAAGAGAAGACGGCAGCAACCCGGAAGATGCGGCTTACTCCGGGAGAGCAAAACTCCCGGGAACGATTAAAATCCCGCCCCACCCTCCCTCCCTCCCTCTCGCAGCTTCCCGTAAGATAAGAGACAATAAGTACTTGTCTTTTTACTCTTTTAATAAACACGACGTGACTGGTGACCTGTGATATAATTCCGATATAAAATTTTCGAATTCGTATCGTATACACTGCACGTTAAATATAATATACTATATCTGAATCGTGATTTTATATAGAATTTCAGACTTGCTATACGATATTAAAAAATTTTATTTCGTCTTTATTATGTACATACATTTTTTATTAATTGCTCTGGATTGATTTGCTACATTTGTTTTTCTGACCGATTCTAATTCTAACACTGTTTTTTATATCTTGTAATCTTCCTATTTATTATACTGTTTCTTTTATTCATCACTTTCCTTAACGCCTATCCTTAGTAAAGGCTTAGGTACGACGTCACGAGCTTCCCCCCCCCCCGGCTGAAAAGGACATAGCTTAAATCTGGATCTGCAGTCCAGGTGTCGGTTCTGGTATCCAGATGTTGAAGTAATTTTTTTTCAATCCCAATTCGTGTGTTAACATGAGAAATATCTCGTTTCCTTGACCGTCATCCAGATCTCAAATGTCTTTTCCACTTTTCTTAATCGCAAATTATTTTAACGCAACAAAGTAACACTCTAAACAGTTGGATTTAGGCCTAATTGTACGTTATTTTGACTTTAAGCGACGCTTAAAACTCTTTCTCCCTCAAGGAAAAACTCTGTCTCTCTTTTAAAGAAAGATAGACAGAGTTTTAGAGCCTCGTTTAAAGTCAAAATAACGTTGTTCGTCAGGCCTTACAATTAGTATTATGAGCAAATACTGGCGCTAAATTAAATATAGATTCGAAATAAACATCATTGAAACTCAGAGGAAAGGAATCCCCTTCAGCTAGAATTTCACAATATTTTTGCAAGCATGACGTATTTTTCGAGATACCGATTTACGCGTATGTTTTGCAACTTTTGTTAGTGATACCGCATCTGTTATGCCCGGAGGGGTCTTTCGATGCAATAAAACCTACTCATTCAATTTGTCCGCTATCTCCCGAAGGTAAAGGACTCCCCTGTCGCTCTCGCTTCCTCGGCCAAACGCGTTTTTTCTCCAGCGCGTACGGGCGACAGAGCGGCGAGAGCTTTGTAAAATCGGCGGATGCGGCGGCCTCTCCCTTGCCGGAGGAGTGACTTCGTGCTATTGACATCCGCTTCTCGTGGTATCGACATCCCTGTACATGCCCGCCCGTGCCGGGAGCACGATCTCGCGTCACTTCCAGAGAGCGCGAGCGCGCGCGCGCGCGCGCGTGAGAGAGAAAGAGCCAGAGAGCGACGAAGCGGGAGAGAGAGAGAGAGAGAGAGAGAGAGAGAGAGAGAGAGAGAGAGAGAGAGCCGTGCGCACGCGATCGGCTCGCGCGCGCTGGTTTATGAAAGAGAATTCAGCCAATAAATTTAATGCAACGCTAATTTAATCGGAAGAAAATTTCGCCGAGCAATTTTTTTCGGGACCCACTAATTAATGAGCACCGGCATGCGGCTCTCTCTTTCTCTCTCTTTCTCTCTCTCTCTCTCTCTCTCACTCACTCACTCTGTCTCTCTTTTTCTCTCCACTTTTATTGCGAGTCGCGGCGGCTTTATTGCCAGTGCGCGGTCGGTAGTAATTAAATGCAACGAACGCGCGAACGTTGCGCGGCATATTGAATTAGCGGAATTGTTTTCGAATCTTTCGCGAAGGGCGAGATCCGCGCCGATGTCACCGCGACGTTCGGACGAGCGGCGTCCTATATCCTTACCTTGAGAACTCGCGCAATTCATTGTCGTCGTGCCGTTTGGTCCTCCATTCTGCACCGGTGACGGGTACCTGAAAACAGAAACGAAAATCTGAGCACTCTC